ATATATATATATATATATATATATATATTTTTTTTTTTTTTTTTTTTTTTAAAGTGCAAAATACTAATTAAAGGTCACTTCAGTTTTTTTTTTCATCAGCAAATGGTAGAAACAGCTAAAAGCAGGAACATAAAAAAAAATATATATATTGTTAATTGAACAACTGCTAAAGGTTGAGTGTCCAAAGTTTCAATTTCACACACAGCATTTTGATGAATTTTTGATCCAGTGTTGAGCTGAAAAATATCTTTCACACAGGGAAGCAGATATAAGTTATTGTTAAATTAATAAAAATGTGCAGTATGTTTAGTACAAACATTTACATGATCAGATCTATTTAATCTGTATTTGTATCATAAGAAGATTATGACTGTATCAATGTTCCCAAACCTTATTAACTTTATAATATATTGCACATATTATCTTTAACATAAATATACTTGCAGTAACTGGATTGAAACACACATTTTCTCCACAGCACATAAAAAAATGTGACTTTTAAGAATAATTTTATTCATCAAAATTTAGAGACAGTAAAAATAATAAATAAAAAAATAGAGACAGAACTGCAAACTCATGTGCAAAGCTGACACTGTTTATCAGAGCACACTATATTTCTTGGCTTTGTAAAGAAGTATTAAATATGAGAATGCCTCTAATTAGTAATACCATTCTTTGTTTTAAACTGTAATGGCCCTTAGCAACAGAATGATTTATTTTTATTTAACAGACAATTACAACAACAAAGATGTTTAGCATTTAACACCTTTTACATGACTCTGTTTCTTTTCAGTGTGTTCAAGTAAAAAAAATTAACTAAAAAATAAGAAATCCACTATTTCACTTCAACTACCCAAGTGCACCACTGACAGGTCAAATCTGCTCCCTCCCTCCACCCCCCCCCCCCCCCCCCCCTCTCTCTCTCTCTCTCTCTCTCTCTCTCTCTCTCTCTCTCTCTAGTTGTTGTGCTGCTGAGAGATTGAGATGCCAAAGTTTGCTTATAAAGTAACGCATAAACTCAGCTAGAGAAAACGAAAGCAGAATCAGGGACATATTAGGCGATTTATAAATCCTGGCTAAATGCATTTTTTAGTCCCAAATAGAGAACATGTCCGGGAAAAAGAGGATGTATTGTCACCTTAAATAATGAGCTGGATCAGTCTGTAAGGGCCAAGAGGAAGGGGTAGGGTTACAACAATAGAATTGCGATTGGGCTCAAATATATGCTGCTCAAGTGCAGATTTTCTTGTGTGCTCTCAAATAAACGCTGCTGAAGTGCGATTCAGTGCGTTTATGTAATGAGTATGTCTCCAACATTATTGTTTATGTTTATGAATATTTATGTCACTAATAGACACACAGAGTGGCATTAATTCTTCCTGAAGTAATGTGAAGCAGCTATAAACTCCAGCAAGATAAAGTTTTTGTTCATCTGAAAGCTACGTTGTGTTTGCTGGCGTCACGCATCACGCGTCAGTCAGTCAGTCAGTCAGTCAGTCAGTCAGTCAGTCAGTCAGTCAGTCACCTTAAAGGATTGAACGAATAACGGACAGCACTACTACGATTATAGAAAAGTTTGCGCTGTAATAATAATAATTATAATAATGTGATGTAATAATAATTGATTACCTTTTAACACGTTACTGTGCGATTATAACCCGCTATTAATGTAGCCATGACGGGATGAATTTTGGTGTGGCCCCCCACCATAGAAAAATGAATGTAACGGAAACCATGATATAGTTTTGAAGTTAGAAAAATTATATATATTTCATTAAAGTTAAAAATGTATATAAATAAAACTAAGGCAATCTGCACATTTATTAACATGCAACATTTATTAACATGGATTTTTTAGATACAAACACGTACTATTGTAAGGACATTCAAAATATTCAGGATTAAATCACAATTATTAAGGTTTAATATTTTATGCAGTCATGCATGTTTTAACAGCGAATATGACGGTGATTTGATGCTTCACAAAAGTTGCAGATACCTTAACCATATATCAAAATACCTTTTTGATGCAGAATACATTTTAACAGCCAGTTATTCCTTACACTGATTAAGAAACTTGAATAGGCCTTCTATGGTAAAGAAAATGTGTCGTCAGCTAATCGTATAGATCTGTCTTTTAACACACACGCACCAATCTCAGGTCAGTTTATCCAGACATTTTATTCTGATTCGCGAACTTGTTTAAAGAGACAAATTAGCCAGAGATCAGTTATCAAGACTAAAAGACCAGGATCTGCCAAATCATCATAGATCATTTAAGCAAGGTATGAAGAATGAACCCCTTGTGTAGATGGTAATGATAACAGTAGTAGTAATAATAATAATAATAATAATGGCATTGCTATTATTGTTATTATTATTATTATTATTATTATTATTATTATTATAGATATTTCTTTTTTTCTTTTGTGGTGTAATAAATAATTAAAGTTTAATCACCAGTTATCGATGTTTTTTTCCCGCTTTTTAAGATGTATGATTATTTGATGAATACTGCAAATCATCCCTTTGTGTTTCATCTTGTTGCAGTGCCATCATTCTGGGGGCTTGTAAATTCAGCTTGGAATCTGTGTTCTGTGGGGAAGAGACAGTCTCCAGTCAACATCGAGACCAGCCATATGATATTTGATCCCTTCCTGACACCACTGAGGCTCAACACTGGCGGCCGAAAGGTAAAGCCATGTCTTATCTGATGTCTGCATTATCTCTGTGCTGAGCTGCTTGGCAAAAGAAAACATTGTTTCTACTATCAAAGTGCTAGGATCAACTATGAAAGTGCTACTTTGGTGGGAAAAAAAAAACTAATCTAGGGCAGCCTTTATGCTTGATACAGAATGGTGGGGACAGTAAATTATGGTGCTTAGTTTAAATTGTACTGTTTGCCACTGGTGTTTTGATGCGAGGAACATGCATCGCACTTCACAACAACTGTGTGTGTGTGTGATTGTGTAGATGATATCTTCTGCAATGTGTTATTCTATACTTGGCTGCATCCGTAATAATTATAAAAATGCTGTTTAAAACAAACTCTGATATTTGCAAGGTTTTTCACACTGCAGGACCAGTTTTAGGTTGATATTCTTTTAAATCTCTCAGGTAATTATAGAAATGTCTGTCTCTGAGCATTATTTTGTCTCATGTTGTACATTTTTGGCATATATTCATATGTTTCTTAGGTTATATATTGATATGATCTCTTGATATACAGTAGTCAAAATTTGTAGTGGATCAAAAGTTTTTCAAAAAGGTTTTCTTCAAATACATTTCAGATACATTTCTTTGGTTATGCATTTATTGACATTTCATATACGGTACACTACCGGTCAAAAGTTTGGTGTCCGTAGGATTTTAAAATGTTTTAAAATAAGCTTCTTTTGCTCACCAAGGCTGCATTTATTTAATCAAAAATACAATACAAATTGTGGAAATGTGAAATGTTATAGCACTGTAAGATAACTGTTTAAAAATGGTTTATACTTTAATTAAATAATTTATTCCAGTGATTTTAAAGCTTCATTACTCCAGTTTTCAGTCACATCACTCTAATATCAGAAATCACTCTAATATCAATTATTATTATTATTATTATTATTATTATTATTATTAGTATTATTATTAGTATTATTATGAATGTAATTATAATAAAAGCAGTAATGACTGGAGTAATAATTTCATTTGAAATTACATACAATATGAAAGCAGTTATTTAACATTTTAATAAATATTTTATAATTTATCAATGTTTTTACATTTAATAAATGCCGCCGGGATGAACAGAATAATTTTCTTTAAAAAAAAAAAAATAAAATTTTATATATATATATATATATATAT